GTCATCCAGGTCAACTGGACATTTTTAGGGTCTTGAAGATGTTTCATCTTCTTCAGTTCTAATCGGCTGCTGATAAAACTTAGACTGACGGAACATAAACGTGAAAATAAAGTCATTTTCTTCAGATGTTCCTAATGAAGATACAGTTCTGAGACCTCTGTTTGGCTCCTACTGTCCAAACCCCTAACCACAGCTCCTTTGTCCCTGCAGTGGGTGTCCAGGCGCTGGACGTGACAGTGTCCCAGAGCAGTGTCCAGGTGGCTCGTGGGAAGGCAGCCATCTTGCCCTGCTCTTTCACCACCAGCGCCGCCCTCAACAACCTCAACATCATCTGGATGGTGATCCCACTGTCCAACGCCAACCAGCCAGAGCAGGTAGGGAGATGTTGTTGTGTACGTTTAGATCCAGCCGTCACAGTAACATTTTCAAATAATTTCCCCCGGCGTTGTGGTTGAAAAAAAAGAAAATGTTGAGCCAGAAAAAAGAATACAATGTTTTTGTTTATCTAACAAATGTAATGCACCATCCTTGTGTATGCTTCATGTGGATGGCCATACTGTTCATCAACCTTTCAGTCAAAGCAGGTACACAGGAGTTTTGATCATTTCGATCCTGTACTAAGGTGTGATCAGATGCAGTGCAAAGAGATTTTAGTTTTATATAAAAAAACGCTCCAAATATTAATAAATAAGAAGTAAAGTTGGAACTGTGGGAGATTAGATTATTAAAGCTGATTTGGCAATATTAGGCGTGGAGAAGTGAGCACAGGTCATCCCCAGGCTCTACAGTCAGTGCTGGCTCTAGCTTATTGTATTGATTAAAAAAAAAACAAAAAAAAAAAACAATCTATACCTAGTATTAAAACTCTCTTTCTGGTGCATCTGAACGCACCTCGAGTGAGTTGTAGCTGTTAGAGAAAACCTAATTGTGCAGTCTGTAAATATGCCATGTACAGTATATAGTTCACAGACTGTTATACTTTCCTTCATAGATAGATTGTTAGAAGCCCTGAGAAATGTTAGTTTCTGTATCTGAAAAGATTTCCGATTACATGAAGGAAACCTACACAGTCGATTAAATATACTTCTACCTCTTACCTCAAAATCTTTCCTTGTGTGAGGAATAAAAACACTCTCCCTGCAGGAGGGGTCTGAAACATTTACATTTATCATATTAGTATTAGTCATGTGACTGGATGTCAATAATAATAATATTTGTTAAAGTAGAATTCTGCTTTATAAAACGCTTTAGTTGGTCATTTAAGAATGATAAAAAATACAACTTTTTTTTCTTTGGGTTTTTGTACTGAACATCAAACATTGAAGGTGATGAAGTTGGGGGGAGAGGGGCGGCAGTGGCCCTCAGCTCAGCCTTGTATCACCAGCTCTTCTTCTCATCTGAATATCTGACAACTTCAGGCTGGAAAACAATAAGAACAGCTCACTTGTTTGTTTACCAACTCAAAAACGAATGAACAGCTCACTTGTTTGTTTACCAACTCTTTAATGTTTTTTTTAACTTCACTTATCTTTCCTCTAAGGCTCACTCTTGTCTCTGGCACTGGCGCCTGTTTTTACAAACTTTTTGATTCCATTGGAGTTGTGTAATATGCAGCTGCGGGCTGCGCGAGCTCACCTGCCTCCTTTTGAACTCCGGCGCTAGTCAGTCGTCCAAATAATACAATCATCTTCTGCACTAATTACCTCACGCCCACCACAGGCTCCATATCACAGCTGTTCTCAGCTCTGTTCTCGCACACACACGTAGCCGCAATTGTTATTTTTCTTTGAGGACTCTCTGATGTACTGGGGATCAGCTTGGACTCGGACTTTAACCTAGAGGATCAAGAAAATATTGAAGTCATTTACTGCAAGAAGAAAATACAAACACATCAAAAAGACTGTTGGTCCACATAAACAGCAGCTCACTGTGCTGACATGCAGGGCCGTAAACACAGTGGTTTATTACACAGTAGGTACTGTATGTGAAGAACGTCAGTGAACACAGCCATGTTCCTGTCCATGCATGACTGCGTCTGACTGTAACATGTCGGGCGAGCGATGATGTTAATGGATACCTACACACATCTGTGCTACTGTCATGCTACACCTTCTCGCTGACACACACTAACGTCACGTGACTCACACATGGAAAGCCTGCGTTGAGGTGTTAGCTACGTAAGAACAAGCAGGCAGATTGTTAAATGACATCAGGATCCATTTGAAAATGAAAAAAGAGAGATTGTCCTGAACTCAACTTTTCACACTCACATACTCGTGGCTTCATTTGGTGTATCAAAATAAAAGCTTGTTTTTATTTTTCTTGGCCATCCAAAAAATAAAAATAAAAAAAAAATAAAAATCAAAGTTGCATTTCACAAAAAAAAAAAAATCAAAGTTGCATTTCAAATCCTCCTTAATTATGGTTTATAAGCTACAGGTGATTATTTACATAATATTTGGCATTCAGTATTATGATGTTTTGATCGAATCTTTTCATTTTTCAAAACACTACATAATTCCTAAAGTCCTTTTCATGTCTTACACGAAACCCGTCTCTGATTAAAGCAGTTTTAAATGAATGCAGAATCTTCACCCTAATTCTGATCTTCACCGTAAAACCAAGCCAAAAATACTCTCAAAGTTAATGAGGACCTGAAAAGTGTCCCTCATTATTTATGCTGGAACGGCTCTGTCCTGCTGAGGTTCTCTCCTGAACATTTAAATTAAATTCCTTTAATTAATTTTAATTGTCAGGATGTTAAATTGTTTAAATATTTTTTTTTTTTAAAAAAAGGCCATATCACCAGCTGTTTGAAGAAGACTGGCTCTTCAACAGAGGCAGCGTTGCATGAAATCTCTTTAAAATCCAATTTCATTCCGTAGATGTGGTCCAAACATTTTGTCCCTGTTCCCATAAAGGGAAAACATTCCCAGTGTTATTAAAAAACAGTTTTCAGTGTGAAAACTCGGCAGTATAGCAAATTTCAGGAAGTTCTGCATTTTGTTGTGAAATTAGCTTTTGAACTCAGATTTAGGACACGGAGAATTTGTGGCCTGAAAAAATGATCAGTAATGGAGAACAACCGTCATTGTAATTTAGATCAGAATGTGATTCCAATCGGGAAAAAAGGCCAATCGGTCACAGCTGATGCATTTACGTAGCAATTCAAACAAAAACAAACAAACAAAAAAAATCCCCTTTCAGTCACTGCTCTCCGCCCACGTCTTAAGGATTTTGTGCTTGAACATCAAAGAAAAGAGAACAATGTTGTTCTTCAGACACACAAATGTTGTGATGTTGATTTGGAAAAAAAAAACTGAGTAAAGATTCAACCACACATCATAAAAACAGATCACAGCCCGCGCTCCTTCTCTCATATGCCATAATGTGATACATTTTATTGATCTGCACAGAAGACCTTCTGTGTTTGTCTGTCTCTGGGGACATCAGCAGTCGAAGAAAAAACGAAACAAACTGCATTGTCATCTCCATCAGTGGAGGATTGTGACTCTGTCTTGGGGGCATTTTGACGTCAGATCAGTTTTTTATGAAGACTTAAGTTGATAATCCACAGGCAGTAGAGCCGTCTTACCCCAATTGATCCCCTCAACTCTTTTCTGACAGTTAACACTCGAAGTTCACGAAAGTCGATCAAATACATGGAGTAAAAAGCAAATTTGTGGAGAAACACTCAGAGCTGAAGTGGAAAACTGTTTGGTTTTAGATGACAGTGTTTTGGGCTTGGGTTAGGGTTAGGATGATTCCAAGAAGCCCAGGGTCATGTTCTTCCCTGGGACCCAGATTTCCTGGCAGCGCCCCCTGGTTGTATAGTACAGAATGTATATTTGTTTGAGAAGTCACTCACAGTATCACTGAAGAAAACATGATATAAAACACACCTGGGCAGAAATAATTTGGTTGCCCACTTGAATACACACACACACACACACACACAATCTCAACCTCTCATAAGAGACAGATTGATTGGATCAGAGTCACAGACAGATTATGACATCATCCTCCAAAACGTGTGTGTCACGCCGGATCAGTGCAATCTAGAAAGACAGAGGATACAAGTTGGACCACACACACACACACACAGACAGTCATACATGATTGATGGCACTCCTGGTTCATTGAGGCTCTCATTGACCTGATGCTCTGTTCAGGGACTGGGTCCATCCTTCATATCACTAACTTCAGGACCTGAAACAGACATTTAAAGGGGATTAGAGAGTGTAGCGACTGAGTAAAAACCTGAACTGGCCCACACACACACACACACACACACACACACGTACACAGACAGGTCCTCAGCTGAGATGTCGTCCCAGACTCTCATCACAGCTGAGGAGCTGCCTATTCATCTGCACATAAGAGGACAAAGCGAGCGAACTGCACTCAGGAAATTGCAGCCATGCAATTTACAATCGTTAGGCAGTGGTGGAGGACACAGTCTCACACACACACACACACACACATGCACTTTCATCAGAAATATCTCAAACACACACACACACTCATAGACTATTGCTGGTTCTCTCCCTGCCCCCTTCTTTGAACAGTTCAATGAGGGTTCTTTTCTCCAAAGTGAATAGTCCCTCTGATTTCCCTCTATGTTTTAATCTCTGTGTGTGTGAGAGAGAGACTTGTGTGCTCTAAATTATTGTTTGTGTGTGTGTGTGTGTCCTCTTCATCTTTGTGTGGCCAGCTGAGGGGTGAGAGCTGTTTTGCATGTGGCTCTGTCACACAAATGAGCTGTTCAGACCAAGTTCAAAGGCAGAAGAGACCAGCACTTTTACTGCTTTATCTGGGCACAAAATGGTTACTACATCTTGTTGAAATAACTTTTAATTTTTATTTTTGACATCTATTATTATTTTTTTGATAAAAATTAATGGTCTTGTGCAAGAACACTGGATTGATTTGGTTGTGTTTTGAATTCATCTGGGTGTCGGTCCAAACAAGTTAAAATGTTCTTTATTCAGCATGAAATCTGTTTATTTAAATATCGTTACACCAAACTAAATGTTTTGGTTCCTTTTTACCCTCAGACTAAAACACTTTTTTTTTATAGACCTTTGTCTCCCTCTAGTGAGAAAACCCACAAACTGTAGTGACTAGTGCTCTATTCAAATTTAGATGTTATATTATATTATATTATATTATATTATATTATATTATATTATATTATATTATATTATATTATATTATATTATATTATATTATATTTACTCACCCCCTGACTCTCTCCCTTTTTCTCATGGTGTCATGCCATAACAGGTGATAATATACCAGGGTGGCCAAGTGTTCGAACTTGCCAACCACCTGAGTGGTCGTGTGGGTTTTGTGGCCACTATGCCGAGTATAAGTGCCTCCATTTTCATCAACAACACCCAGCTGTCTGACACTGGGACCTACCAGTGCCTGGTCAACAACCTCCCAGACAGAGGGGGGCGCAACATAGGTGTCATTGGACTCACAGTGTTGGGTAACTAACAAATCATCAATGTTTTTGTTTTTTGTTTTAGTTGTAAAAACATTTGAAATGATATTACCTGAGATTATCTTAATCTGCTGAGATTGTAGCATTTTAGCTGCTTAAATTTAAACAATGGATTTTTTTCATTTAGATTTATTTTTCTGTTCTGTTTCTGTGTTAAGCTAAGGATTCAAAACTGTATTAAAAATAGGTTTACTCTGCATGTACAAAAAAAATGGATATACATTTGGTCTGTGAAGTCATAAACTCAACACCACCCACTCTCCCCATCTGCTAGTGCCCCCATCGGAACCATCATGTCAGATCCAGGGAACACTAGATGTGGGCAGTGACATCATGCTTCTCTGCGACTCTGACGAAGGTATTCCAACACCAACCTACTCCTGGGAGAAAATCAGCACACTGCCCAAGCTGCCACAAAATGCCGTGCAAGGTATGATTAATTATTCATTCATTACATCATATATATTATTTAAATGTTAATATTTATAGACTGTATTTTATTGTATGTATTTGGTGTGCCTTCCAGACCAGATGCAGGGCACGGTGTCACTGAGGAACATCAGCACCAGCACCTCAGGACTCTACCGGTGTACCTCCAGTAACACCATTGGCAAAAGCACATGTTTGCTCAATGTACAAGTTGTAGAACGTGAGTAGCTAACACGTCAATATGTTTCATCATCAGTGTTTTAGTAATATATATATAAATGTTGTCACACAGACACATGTAAAATATTGTCAAATACTGAAAAATAAAAAAAATCAACAAGTTTCTTTTGAGATAAAAATCTAAAAAAAAAAACACAAGCAGAACAAAAATGAGCAGAGTGACACAATAAGAACCTGCAGATGGCAGTATTTGCCTGTTTATGACATTACTCAAAAAGTTAGTTTTTTTCTGCGTCATGTTACACAGTGTTACACCAGCGTGAAGTTGTATCTCAGGTACGGCAGTATTTGAAGTACTTTCTGAAACACATCATTTTTTGAAAACAAAAAAACCCTTTACATTAATTTGTTACTATTAATTACTATTAATTAGTCCAACACTGTCTGTAAACTATTCCCCGTCCATCTCTTCTGTGTCTTTAGCCCAGCCCCAGAATGTTGGTCTGATCGCGGGCACCATCACCACGGTGGTCCTGGTTTTTCTGATCTTCTGCCTCTTGGGGATGGTCACGCTCTTCTGTTGGAGAAACAAACACAAATATGATGAGGAGGAGATCCCCAATGAGATCAGGTTGGTGCCAGACAGACCTTCAACAACCCAATACTGATGAACAAAAATGGGTCACATGGTCATTAAAGAGTCACCCCCCCCCAATATTTCAAATTTTAATAAGGGAATGTTTATTTACACGTCTTTATTGTGTGGAAAAATCCCACTTAAAAAAACACTCCAAACAGACATTATTTTGTTTGTTATCTCCTACACCCCCTGGTGGCAGCTCATTTCACATGTTGCAAATCTAGTTATTAAAATGTCCATCTCTCCAGGATTTCATTGACATCTGTTCTAATGTTAATGTGAGATGCTGGATTCTAAATTTTCCATTTAACTCGATGGTTCTGACCCCTCTTTTGACCCCCCTCTCTAACAGGGAAGATGACCTTCCTCCTAAGAGGTCATCGTCAGTGAAGGCTTTCCAGGCAGATGCATCATCGTCAGAGAACGACACGCTGACTTCCACCAACACATACAACAGTCGCTACTGGCACAACCCCAAGGCCAACTACGACACCAACTCCTACACACGCTACAATGGAGACACACGCCAGACCTTCACAGGTGCCGCCCATGGTGCACATGGACACGCCCAGGCCCAGAAGACAGGACAAGGACAAGGACAAGGACAAGGACAGGGACAAGGACAAGTACAGGGACAGGGACAGGGACAGGGACAGGGTACAGTGGCCACAGCGCCGGGTTCGACGCCACTGCCCCGACATGCACCAACGGCGCCAGTGACGACGACAACATTTGTCAACGGCAGCCACACACTCCCACCACCCAAGACTTTGGTCGTCACCACGAACTCTGCCCCCTCCCCTTCCACAATGGTGCGCAGCAACGGCACCGTGAACCTCAAACCGGCAGTGTCGTCCGCACACGGGCAACACACGCACTCCTACGCCGTTAGCCAGGCGGCGTTGGAACGAATGGGGGCGGTGCCCGTCATGGTGCCCGCCCAGAGCAGAGCAGGGTCACTGGTGTAAAAGCTGTAACAAACACTGACCTCAGAAACAGCCCACTGCCCTTTACAACACGTTTCTTTCTCTATATTTCAATATTTCTATCTGAAAAAAACCGGGGATTTTTTTTAAATGCACAGAGTCCTTTAATGCTGACGTGTAGGAAGACGACCTCTTGTGGTCATGGAATATATCCATCCCTTATTGGATGGACGGACCGCTTTGGTCACCGTGGGACTCACGTTGAACCACTGAGTCTTTGACAGCCTGGATTTCTGATCTCCTGCGATTTTGGGCCGTGGTCATGACTGTCTTTGGCCACAAGCTGTCACCAGGCTCATCACCGTTTTTTCCATCGGAATGGAGTGAGCTGCGGTTCTTTACATGCATGTTTAAGGCTGACGAACGAGTTCTTTTCAATAATAATAATAAGTTCTTGTCAGCGGTCAATTTGACTCACACCAATGAAAGTGTTGAAAGTGAATGTGTGTCAGAAACTAAAAAATGATGACGGTTGAATGGCCTTAGGAGCTGAGGAAGTGAGTGAGGTTTTGAGTGCAATACTAAACTAATACACTTTACTTCATCTAATGCAAAATTACCCTGTCGGTTTTTTTTTGTTTTTTGTTTTTTGTTTTGCACTTTTGAAAGCAATTTTCCACACAGCCTCGTTGTAATAATCAGTCTTAATTATATATAAAAATACTCACACCACATGTTTCATGTTGCTGCTTTCACCTGATTTGAATTTGAACCTGCAAACTGCTCGTGTTTCTTTTTTTCTTTTTTTTTTGCCGTGTTCATCCTTACCGTTGTCCTACTCGGTTCATGTCTCACCAGTGCCACTTTGACCAGACGTGGATGAGGAGATGGGATTCATTACCAGACACGTATATAAAGAAGGGTGGGAATTGTTTTCCCCCCTCTGAAAAAAAATGTATTTTTCTCTACTGTACATATTGTAACTACAGCAGTAGTCTAGGGTGTGACTCTGAGAAGCACACGTGACAGTTTTGTCTTATAACATTATACAACTCACATGTCTTAAGTTCAAAATGATTCTCTCTCTTTTTTTAACAAAGTCAAGATACATTAGTTTGGTTCAAAGTTAAACTCCGATTTCAAAGGGGTTAAGACAAAAGTGTAGCTTTTTTAACCATTTTTTTCCTATTGGAAAAAAACACGCTGTGTATTATTACTTTTGTGACATTCAAAACTAGTTTTAACTGATTGTTTTTATGTCTTTACTTCTTTTTTAACATTTGTACATGTGTACATTTGGACTAAGTTACCAAGGAATGGTTATAAAAAATGTGTTCACTCAATTTTCAGTATTAAGAATTTAACGGGATCAGCTCACTCACTCTGATGAATTTATACTAGCTATATGTAGTAAAATGGGTTTTATTAAATTATATACATCAGAACACAGGAAAAAAAACTTTGCAGTAAATCTGGTTATGCAGATATATGATAAATTCAATTCATTTTTAAAGGTTATGCAGATATATGATAAATTCAATCAATTTCTTAAAAAACTAATTTAAAGCAATTAGTAGAAGAGAATTAATGATATAATTCACACAAATAGCTGATAAGACAGAGGGACAGAATTGTTTTTCTTTCACGGTGCATTCAGACCAGTACTGTACACACACCTACTTATTTCAGTTATTCAGACTTCTCACTTTTTTTCTCCAGAACATAATACGTAATAATGATTTTAAATGATGGTTTAAAAAAAAAAAAACTCTCTCCATGTTTGTCACTGTAGTTTGTGTGATAGCAGTTCAGCTGGGCCAACAAAACGTTCTTGTTCGTGTAAGTAGAGTATAACCTTGGTCCGCTTTTACACACATATTAATCTCTTTTTTTTTTTTGGCTGCCATTTTTCTCACGGCTGACTACTGGGTGACAAAACTACAGTCACAGACACGTACAAAGGTTTGAAAAATACTGAACGGGGACAGAGGTCAATAGAATTAGTCACTTATTCTAGTCTTTTTGTCTGACAAGGTTTTGGAACATGTTTTTTTTTTCTCTCTCTCTCTGTGAAGGTTCTTCTCAGTGTCTCTCTCTCAGTGAACATGTTCTGAACACTGGCTGTCCATATTAAAGAACTTTTCCTCTAAGTTGTGTAGTTTTTTTTCTTCCAAAATCAACCCTGAACCAGAAAAACAAACATTTCACAATAAGTCCATCCTTGGTTTTAAAGTCAAATCCAATACTTAGTTAAGTACTCAAAAAATGAACTTTTTAACATCTGGATTTAGTAGCTCATCAAAATTTAACCATTCAGTTTAACATAGTAAATTTAACATAAAATAATGTCAAAACAAAAGCTAATAAGTCTACTGCACTACCTTAGGGTGACACTGGGGAGCAGTGTTTACAAAGCCATGACGTCCCATCGAGTACTGTGAGCTCTGTTCTTCCAGCTTTAGCCCAGTGTTTTCGAAAAGATTTAGTACTAAATGGAAGAAAAGTCCCTTAAATTGAGTCTCTACGTGAACGGCAGTCTAAATGGTTCATTTCTTGTCCCCGTGACACAGCGGTGACCTGGCTGTCCACCAGTGTGAGCCGGGGGACGTGTGGGTGAGGTATTTGGATGGATTTAAGGTTTCTTAAGCTCATCTGACCGAGAATTAAAGAGTGACCTGAGGCAATGTTAATGGACTTATTTAAATTCTTCAAATTAAACAGAGATGGCTGCTGACAGAGCACTTGTCTTAATGTAATCTTAATTGGTGAATTTAATCCTCCTTTTTGTCAAATTCATTTTCATTCAGTTTATTTTTTTTCCTCCCCTCCGACACGACGCAGCCTGTTTAAAAAGCATTGAATGAGAAATTAGTAGGAGCCCTTTGGGCAATCAGACATTTCACTCCCCGGGCGTTCATGTTAATGACGTCACACTCTCCACACTGACAAATTTTCTAGACATGCTGAAGGATATATCTTCTTTTTTTTCTGCCCCAAAATATATCCAAGGTACTATTATTTTGTTATTTGCAGTATTTAAGCCCTTGCTAAACAAGGCTCGGCTCATGAAGACAATGTTATTTTAAAATAATTTTTGAAATAATTTTAAAATTGATGAAAACCACTTTATGTTTTCATATTATGACTTATTGTTGTTATTTTTTTCATTAATATAAATACTTGCATACCTGCTTTTGATTTTTTTGAACAGGGTGCTAAACATGCAATGAGGAATTAAATGAAATGACGTAGGTTTCAGTCCGTCAATGGCTGCCGTTCACGTTATCAATATATATCTTTTTTATGACAGTGTCGCAGAGAGTCTGAGGTCGTGTGAGATTTTCTGAATGATTTAGATGTAGATAGACGTAAACATGGGCAAAGTAACGTTTGTTTTTTGCCTGAAAATCATCAGGCTGGATGAACTATGGCCTGAGCCGTGCTAATTATTTTCGTGATGGCTCATTCAGTGTTCTGAGGTTCACTGACTACGGCTAAAGTGAAGGAGCAGAACAGTGAGGTGTGGAGGAAAAGGGAAAAATAGTTGAAAAAAAAATAATCAGAGTGCAGGTCAGACAGGTGGGCTGCTCCAGAGCAGAATGACGCCAATCTGTCCCCTGTAGTTGTCAGGCTGAATGTAGAATGCAGTTTCAGAAAAATCACATACACAACTTGTTCCTGAGTCATATATATATATATATATATATATATATATATATATATATGCAGTACATACAAAGCATTATATTATGTTTCCATCACTTTCCTGAAGGCAAAATAAAACCATGAATATAGTATCAAGTACTTTTTGCATTTGTGGAGCTGTCCATGGTGCTGTCTCTGGGCCATACCACTCTGTTCCTCAGCTGTTTTGTATCCAGTGATGTAAATGTTTGTGGTGAAGTTTGAAAAGAAAAACCTAAACAAACAAACATAAGGCAGTTAGAGTGAAGGATCATAAGTGTGTGCATCTTGACTCTTGTATCTTTACAAGTGTTAAAGCCTCTCTATATTCTTACACTATGTTTCCTTTAATATCAAGACTTTCCAGTCACACTGTAGAAAAGCGAATAATAAAAAAAAGGTGATGATTGTATTACACTCAGAGAGAAAACACTGCGGTGCCAAAGCCTTTCTATTTGCAGTTCTCAGAGTATCGCTTCATGCCTCAGTGTTTGTGTGCTTTCTCTCTCTTTTTTCCTCATCATTTCAAAATCTTGGCGACTATTTATCTGGATGAGAGAGAAGTAAAGAAATATTGTGAAATCCTCACATTGCACAGTCTTTATTTGATGTTTACCACAGCTGTTAGCTCTGTGTGATTTACAGTCACACATTTCCATCTCTGCACTCCTCGACTAAAAGCAGTCTGTAAAATATTCCCATTTTCCGACCCACTTTCTGTCTTTCTGTGATTACATGCATCTGTCATGGCACTTGTCCTAAACCCATATATGGTCATCAAGGCCCACTTTATGATGAAAATGATTGTCTCTGCTCTGCTACCGACAAAGACCCAGCATTTCTTTCAGTTCAGAGCTTTTTCACTTTTCTCTGAGCCCCATCAGCCACCTGAGTCTGCCGTGATTACCCTTCACATCTGGCAGGAGACGGGCTCTGGCTCTTTGATTCAAAAGGAGCAGGATAGGAATCGAGATGAAATGGTTGTTCTAAAGATCTCCAAAATCCACATCTTGGGTTTGGAGAAACTGCTCTTCAAAATACCTGATAATATTCATTTTAGACTGAACGATGATCTATTTTCTGTCTGTCCAGATTGACTCTGATCAGGCAAAATATTGAAAAAAACAATTGTTCTCCCAGCTTTGCCACTATAGAATACTATCAGTCTTTGACTTTAAAGCAGTGTTCTTCAACCTAGGGGCCACAGCCCCATGTGGGGGCGCCTGGAATTCAAATGGGGTCACCTGAAATGCCTAGTTATTGATAAAAATAAAAACTGATAAAACATATCCAACAAATTATCTCTGGGGTCACCAAAGATTTGTGATGTCAAAATGGAAGTCACCAGTCAAAAAAGGTTGGGAACCACTGCTTTAAAGGCTTGAAACCTCAAAGATTCTGAATCTGTCTGCACCGAGCGGGTTCATCAACACATTCAGAACTGCTGTGTCAGCAGGTAATCTCATCACGCAGATAATGAGCGCAGTAGTGAACATTCCTGGAACCATAGTGAGCCTGATGATAAGCACTGAAACAGAGACACAGCCGGGAGTCTGAGGAAGAATTTGGGAGTATGGGGGGTTGGGGGAGGAAGGAGGGGGGGGCACGCAGTGAGGGCATTACCAGGATATAAATGCAGCGGTTCAATTTCCCAAAGGGACGGTGCGTGGATGGAGTGGCTGCTCCAGTGAGCAGGGTCACTCACACTTTTACCTGCTGTTTCCTCCTTTCTGGGTACTTTCTGACAGCCAATCACCTGCTCAGCAGACTGGACAATACACTGATAGATGTCCTTGAAAGAGGGAGAAAGTGCTTGAGAGACAGATTGCAATAAATATGCCAAAGGAGTTATAGTTATGGAGCATCACAAACCTGCCTGGGATGTGATACTGAAGGGGCTTTAAGTGCATGTGAGAGAACCGACCTCAGCTGATAGCTAACAGTGATACGAAGATTCACTTCTCATGTTTTTGAGTGATGTGTTAATTGATATGGAAATCTGCAAAACATCTTTGAACCTTCCTGAAGTGAGATCTCTGAATGTGAATTTTTGAAAATGAACTTTAACAGAAAGACGGAGATCTCTGAATGTGAATTTTTGAAAAAGAAATTTAAGTTTTCTTTAACAGAAAGACATACAGAGAAGAAGAAGAAGTTCAAGAGCGGATTTCTGGGATACATACCAAAAAGTTGAGAGGTAGGATTTATTTTTGGGTTACATCCCAATTTCCCTGTTACACATCGTTATTATTGTGAGACTGAAGATAACGAGTATGAACTAAAATTGTTCCCTTGCTGATGAAGGAAAACTTCCAGAATCAGAGTCTAATTTTGTCAATCTCAAGTTTCTTTACAGTCTTTACGTAGGGATTTTGCATGTTTTACTCATGTGTTTTTTTGTTGTTGTTGTTTGTTTTTTTTTTTTTTCAGGTATTCTTGTCTGCTCATACAGTACAACATGTGTGAAGTTGGAGATTAGTTGTGGTGTGAATGTGAGTGTGAATGGTTGTTTTGTTTCTTTGTGATGGTGGCTTAATGACCCAGGGTTTATAAAAAAATGTATAAATTAATCAAAATATTTGCTGTTTTTTTTTTTAATATATCGTTTCGGAAGTTGAATTAAAATGGAATTTTCTTTTAGAAGATAAACAGCGCCCCTGGAGGGGAGTTTTGTTGTACGTACACGGTTGTCATGCATGTTTAGATTCAGTTTGTATTGATAATCGCCATAATAAACGAACACTGTCTGACATTTGATGATGCGTACACAACAGCCAATGACAGATCTCTGTGTTGAAGTTGTTATTTTCTGTTTCCTATCAAAACCTG